CACTGTTTGCAATGAGCAACTACCTCATGACTGAGAAGAACCTTTCTACACAGGTAGCCAGCAATATAGGCCATGGTGTTTTCCTCAGGGAGGCTTGGAACAGAATTCACTGGCAAGTGGTGGCGGGTGTTAACAGTTTGCGGTACTCTTGAATGGTTGACTGGCTTATCTCTCTGTGCCAGAGAGGATAAGGTCAGCACAAACCTATCGTTATCTGGTGCACAATTTGATGAAAGGGCTGGCATTATTAGTTGTGCCAATTTTCTAGGTGGATTTGGAATGCAAAAAAACAGTTGGAATAGCATCGTGCTTCAGACTATTTCTCTGTCTGTTGTTGAACTGATGGCTTTCAAAATGATTTGAACACACTCAACAATTGCTGTATAAATATTCAGGAGATCTCTTCCTTAGGTCATCTCTTATATTTTGGACCCATTCTTGACTTCTATAAAAACAAATTTAGAAAAATTTCCTGATGTCAAAAAAAGTGGGCTGCTTTCACATATTGGAAAGAAAATAATAACATTCATAATGTACAGTATTGTTCTCTTATACACATCTAGATGTGTATAAGAGACAGAGATTCGACCATATCATATTATAAATAATAAGTCCATTTGGCGCCACTCTTATGGAATAACCTTCCAGTGCACATTCGATCTTCACCGTCTGTGGCTGTCTTTAGGTCTAACTTAAAGACTCATGTCTTTAACTAATTATCCCATTTTTATTCTTGTTTGTATTTTTTATTGTTGCAGTATTTACTCATGTTTACAAGCTTTGCCACTGCTTCTTTTGATTTGTTTACTCGTTCTGTGCTTGGGTTAGGCAATGATCACGACTGCTTGTGGGTTGTGAGGTGCCTAAATATGTGAGTGCAGCGCTTCGTATCTGCAAAGAAAGGCGCTTTATAAATGATTGGATTTGGGAACCTAGGGCTGCTGTCTGGGCTTATGTACAGAATAAAGTTGCTGTCATTGGTATTTATGTTACCCCCAATGTATAACAATAAAAAAAAATCATCCATGTCTCTCTTCACATGATTAATGTCATTTGGGCGTGGCCTTTAATGTTACTTTTTAGGGTCACGTACATGAAAAAATTGCTGTCATCGGTGTTTCAGCATTCTACAATGTACAAGTAGTAATTCCTAGTTGGTTTCATTCATGTCTCTCTTTGCCTGATTTTATCATGTTGCTACTATATAAGACCCC